AGTTAGGGTTTTTGGGTACTAGCATGAGAGAAGAACAGCAGAAGAGGGGTTTGCACTAGCAGGCAGTTGAGTACATATAGGAAACCCTAATTTGGGCTATACTCGCTATAGAGTACCCCACTGCAGGCTAGACAAATATCACATTCTGACACACCCCCATAGTCAAAGTGGGGTATAATCAGCACAGCAAGCAGTCATAGAGCAGGTTCACAAGTACAAGCAGAGCTAGAGGCATTCACAAATGGCAAGTGAGGAGGAGGAGGCGGGACTGTGAGAGGAGAGGAGATAGGAGGCGACGGCTGAAGCTGCAGACACACGGGCAACAGGAGCGGCTGGCACAGCGGCTACCGGAGCAGCACCTCGGACTACTGGAGTAACTGGCTCCGCGGCTAAGACGAGCGGCAGGAGCAACGGACCCACGGGCGACTGGCGCAGCAGGCTCGCTGGGCTACCGGAGCAGAGCCCCGGACTACTGGCGCTGCTGACGACGCGACGGCTGCCTCCGCTCAACCTCCCCCAACTGTCCAACCCCCCTTTCACACACCCCCTGTTGCACCCCTAGCTTCACTCCCAAGACACCCCCCTAGCACCACTCCCTCGGCTCCCACACACCCACCCCCCTCAGCGGCAGCTACAGCAGTGGGAGACGAAGGAGGAGGAGGAGCAGGGGACGGCTCACACATCCGCCACCCCCATACCCGCCACCCCCATACCCCCAACGCAGGCGGCACGGGGCAGAAACGCGGGCAGCAGGTGGAGCGCTGCGAGGGGCGACGGGCAGGGCGGCGCGCGGCCCCCAGGGCGCCACGACGGGCGACGGGAGGGGGGGCGACGCGCGGGCCCCCAGGGCGCCGCGACGGGCGACGGGAGGGGGCGGCGCGCGGGTCCCCAGAGCGCCGCGACGGGCGACGGGAGGGGGGGCGACACGCGGGCCCCCAGGGCGCCGCGACGGGCGACGGGAGGGGGGCGGCGCGCGAGCCCCCGGGACGCCGCGACGGGCGACGGGAGGGGACAGTGCGCGGGCCCCCGGGGCGCCGCGACGGGCGACGAAACCGCCACGCGCGCCCAGGGCGCGCGACGGGCAGGAAACCGCCATGCGCCCCGAGCGCGTGACGGGAAGGAAAAACGCCACGCGCCACAGGGCGCGCGGCAAACAGTACAGCAGCGGAAGTAGGTGGGCCCACAGGCCAGGAGCGTGAACGCTTTGATAGCATGTTGAGAATAGTAGCTAGTACTTAGTAGCCATAGTTAGGGTTTTGGGTACTAGCATGAGAGAAGAACAGCAGAAGAGGGGTTTGCACTAGCAGGCAGTTGAGTACATATAGGAAACCCTAATTTGGGTTATACTTGCTATAGAGTACCCCAATGCAGGCTAGACAAATATCACATTCTGAGATTTTCCTATCTAAAAGCTGAGGTGTGTGGCATGATAGGATGATAATGGACTGGCTGGATAAGGTCATGATAATATGATGTCATGGGTCACATGGTATGATTGCCCCATCACATGCATTGACATGTTGGGACACTGCCAGCATGCAAGTGTTGGAGCAGCTTGGCATGGATGAGTCATGGTACACCAGATGCAGTCCCATTCACCCACTCCACTTACCAAGAACAACAGATGGTAACTTTGTGCACTCTCGCGTGGTCATCACTCTCTTTGTTGTCATTTCCTAAATGTGCACGCGTGCGCGCGCGCGCACACACACACATGCACCACACACATGCACACACACATATACACACACACATATACATACACACATATTCACACGCACACACACATACACACCGTACATACATATATGCATACAAACATACACACACAAACACACACATACACACACGCACACACACATACACACACACACACACATACACACACACACACAAATACACACATACACACACACACACACACATACACACATACACACATACATACACACACACACACACATACACACACACATACACATACACACACATACATACACACACACACACACACACACACACACACACACACACACACACACACACACACACACACACACACAGTTGTGTGCGGGGTTTTGCATCGCTCACCAGTTGACCTTCATGGTTATCTCGTGGTGCTGCTTGTCGATGGTGCAGGTCATCTTGAAGACATGCAAACTTTGACTGAATGCCGGCCACCAATGTCGACATACAGGTCGACCGGCGATCTATACATCGGCCAGCTGGAGGAGAAGCTGACCCAAATACGCATGGGCAAGCAGGAATTGGCGACGCACTCCCGATCGTCTACAACCTGATGTGCCGGATGCTCGCAATGCTCGGTTTGCGTGACTCGCTCAACGAGGACACATTGACAAGTCACATCATCAAGGACGAGGCGATGAAGGAAGCCCAGCGGCCCACGGAGCTCCTTTCGCAAGTAAACTACACTGCCCATACAAAGCAGGGATGTCAGCAGGGGCAGTGCGGGAAGCAGAGCAGAGGTGGTAGAGGAATACGCCGACCAATTGAAGTTGGCTCGAGATAAGGAGCTGGTCGACGGCGGGAGTGCTGGATCTGCGGTGACCCAGACCACCTCTCCTTCGAGTGTCCAGACCGCGACGAGAGCGACAACGACGACAATAAGAGACGTCGCGGGAAATTTGATGGATGTCGTCGACGCCGGGACAACAAGCCACGCAAGGAGAAGCAGACGTCGAAGTCGACATTGACGATGAAGGATACCTACTGTTCTCCTGGCAGCAAGACACGAAGGGATGAAGAGGCCTCGTGCTCGATGGTGAGGGTCGTGGGGCCGACCGTATCACTGGCGCTGGAAGCCGGAGAACTTTAAGGTGCGGATGCCATGCAGGCGAAACCCGTTGGTGGTTCTGCTCGATAGCGCCTGCTCCCACCACCTGATGGGGACAAATGAGGCCTTCGTCTACATGCAGCCGAGCGGCGACGTGCGACACGTACGCGGCTTTATCGGGGTGCTTCAGATTATCCAAGGCCATGGCACCGATGTTCTGCGAGGGGAGGCCAAAAATCAGGTTCTCATCCCCGGCTTGCTCTACGCCACAAGTGTGCAGGCGAATCTGCTGCCGGCCGGCCAGCTAAAGGACAGTGGCACGAGGCAGCTGGATGACGGCGATAAGATGCAGATCGTCTCGAAGATTGAGGACGTCCTTGGTCAGGCGAAGTACATCGACCAGGTCCTCTGCACCCCTGCTTGATTAAGCCGACGTCGGCGTTGACCAAGGTGGTGGCGCTGCGGACGATCTCTTTGGCGACGAAGTTGATGCCAGACATGTGGCATGTGAGGCTCGCGCAGGTCGGCGTCGACACAATCAAGAGCTCGGCGAAGCACCACCGGCTTGAACATCAAACCGTCGGCAGGCGCCGACCTGCCGTGTGTCTCCTGCGTCGACAGGAAATTGGCGCGGCACACATTCCCCAACACGGGTTCGGACGCCGAGGAGGCCTGGCCGTCGTGCACATCGACTTGTGCGGGCCACTTTGGGTGGTTGCCAAGAATGACAGCCTCTACTATGTCCTGCTAAAGGACTGCATGACCCACTACGTGTGGGTACGGCGGTTGCCAAGAAGAGCTACGTGCTACGGGTGTTCGAGAAGTGGCTGACGGTTGTGGAGCGGCAGACCAAAACGTCGGTGTTAATGCTTTGCTCTGACCATGGAGCGGGTTCCTGGGAAAGAAGTTCACCGACTTCGTCAACGGCAAGGGGATCGTCCACGACATGACGTGCACGTACACCCCGCAGCAAAACGGAATGGCAGCACGGGAGGTGCGCACTGTCGTTGAGGCTGTGCAGACGATGCTGCTCCACATAGGCGTGCTGCATCACTAGTGGCACCTTGCTCTTCGGCAAACCGTCTGGGTGCGCAATCGCCTTGACGGGTCGACTTTGCCGCCGGGAACGACCCCGCACCAACTGCTGACTGGCAAGAAGCCCGGCCTCACGCTAGCACGGGCGTGTGGGGATGCATGGTGCATAGTCTCCCGCTTGCCGGTGGGGCCTTCATCTCGGTGTATTACTGGAGAGCAAGGGCTGGGAGGTGGTCGACCTCACCGACAGCAAGCGCGGACCTTGACCTTTAGTGATAAATGCAAATATTAGCTTGTTGTGTACACCCAATTGTCCTATTAGCTCCCTCATCTCTGGCTTCCTCATTACTTCCCTGTATATTTTCGCCCAGCCATATATTTACGACATCCACTGTATTCATATGTGCATGAACGTTATGGGCTTTGCAATGTCATCGAGCTCAGGTCATGGCGAACCCGGAAGCTCAGTAATGTGCGCATTATCAATGTGTTATCTACAAGCATGACCAACTATCACTTGTTCATGGGTCAGCTCTATTGTAAAAATGGTATGATGGTGAAATGGCCAAGCAATCTTTGTGCATGGATGCAATCGAGAGCTTGAGAAGGGTGACCAGTTTGTGAGGAAAGGTGTCGAGAATCACTCATGTGAGATATTTTGAGGGGAAAAAGAAACCGTCTTGACGATTTTCCATCAAATGTCATGTTTACAGTGATTAAAACGCCTTTTACGCTTTAGCCAAGAAGATACAAGTAGTGGTGGGGGAAAAATGACCAGGCTATAAATTTGTGATACAAGTAAGTTTGTATGCTAGAGTGAAAACCAAACAGAACCTTGGATGCATTCAGTACAGCAGCCACAAAATGAAACTGAACTTAACGTGACTAGAAGTTTGGTCTATAATAAAAATTATGAATGCACATTGAGATGACTGATTTTGAACATTACTGTGGTTGTATGTAAAGGCAATGACAACTGCAAAATGACATGGATTGAAGCCACAATACAAAGGCACATGTAAGCCTCCCCCTCCCAACCCTCCCCTCCCCCCCTCTTCCCCCCCTCCCCCCTCCCCTCCCCCACCCTCCAAACTAGTATTGGCGAATGACAAACAAAAAATGCTTAATAAAAAAACAAAAAGGCATAATACATGCAATTCATCCCTAATGCTTACTCCCTGTGCTCCCCATTATCCATCAAGAACCTCTCTAGCGCATCAATAGTGTAGCTTCCAGCACCAGCAGGGGTGATTGCCCCCACATGTCCGAAATCCCTATCCTCTGTATTCAACAACCCTCCTCCATCAGTAGCCTGCCCCCCACCCTCCAAACCTGCACCTGCTGCTCCCAAAGGCGCCATGACTGGGGCGGCAGAGGCATGATTCTCAAACCTGTGAAAGAGTGCTCCCTCGATGTGTGAAGGTGGGGAGATGAGGCGCCAGGGAGAAAATGCAGAGTGCTCAGCATCTCTCAGGAGCAACAACGGATCTGCTGAGGGGAGAGGCAGAGGAAGGGTCAAGTCTGCCATGATAGGCTGCTGGAAATTCAACTGCTCAGCACAAGGCTGGGTAGCATAATGCTGGTCGGCACTATTCTGAGTGGCACACAGCTGGCCTGTGCTAGGCTCGGCAGTAGCACCAGCATCATATGCGGGCCTGGGACCCTCTGTTGCAGCTTCCTGCATTTCAACGTCCCCTCCACTGCTGCCAGCACCACCTGACTTATAACCGTTGATTCTCTTAAAGGCATCATGCTCCGAGGCATCAGAACCGCACATCTCTGTGTTGCCGTATCCATGCAAGCTGACTGTACGATCGAAGTTGGTGGGTGGATAGGCAGGAGGGGGAAGGGCATTTTGCGAGTGAGAGACTGCAATCCCAACACCAGATCCAGCAACAGCAACAGGGGCAGCGCCAACAGCAGCAGTGGCAGCAGAAGCACCAGTGGCAGTGCCAGCGGCAAGACCGGAACCAATGCGTCCAGCAGCGGCAGTAGAGGTCACAGCAGAGGAGGTGCGGGCAGCAGGCGTTTTGGGGGGAGTGGATTGACTGTGGAAGGGCAGATGCTGCTGTAATCGAGTGATCTGCCCTTGATGCTGCTGCAGCAGTTGCAGCTGATCTTGCTGCTGCACCAATTGGTCTTGCTGCTGACGGATTGAACACGACTGCTGCTGCTGCTGCTGCTCCAACTGTCTCTCATTCAGGAACGACCTCTGTTGGCCCTGCTGCAGCACCCCTTCTCCGTACCTGCTAGTAGGTAACCAAGGTTGCTTTCCCAATTGTTTGTGCAGCCCTTGAGCATACTTGCTCACCGGAAATATCGGCTTGAATATCGGCGTACGCAGCGTTTCCCTGACAAGCTGTCCTGCTCCCATTGGTCCCTGGTCAAGGGACTGTGATCGTCTCGCCCTGTGGAGAGATATAGTAGCATCTGGTTCGAATGAGGTGGCTGGGGAGGATGCCAGAGCTGCCACACCAGGAGCAGCAGCAACACCAGAGGCACCAGCAACACCAGCAACACCAGCCACACCAGAGACATCAGCAACACCAGCAACAGGTGCAACACCGAAAGCGCCACCAGCAACCCCGGCAGCAGGCTTTTTTCTAGAATTTAAGCCAATCCCACTACGCACATTGGCAGCCGCAGCAGCTACACCATCCATTGGGCCAGCAACACCCATATCACCAGCAACACCAGCAGGACTTGGACCGATCAGACCACCCACTCCACCTGTGGTGCCCACAGAGGGCTGGGGCTCAGGGGTTGAAGCATAGATGACAGGTGGTTCCATCGGGGAAGAGACACTGTGGCTTCGGAATATAAGAGGCGCATGTTCGGAACGAGGCTTGGAAAGAATCTGGGGTGTGGGCTCGGACCAAGGAGGGCCGGAAAGCCTGGAAATTGTGTCGTCACTTTCCGGGTATGGGGTGTGGCTTCTAAGCATCTGCTGCTCTCTCCACTCTTCCACGGGAAGAGCTTCGCGTATGATGTCTGCAGAAGCACACCGTGTAGGTGCCTTGGTCCTCTTGCTAGCCTTCGGATTGAGAGAGCTGCGCCGTGGAAAGCTTGATGAACTGAGCTGCTGCTGCTGCTGCTGCTGCTGCTGCTGCTGCTGCTGCTGCTGCTGCTGCTGCTGCTGCTGCTGCTGCTGCTGCTGCTGCTGCTGCCACTGCTGCTGTTGGTTCTGGTGATGCTGACGCACGGACGGAATCACAACAACCGAAGATCTCCGCGACATGGTAAAAGCGTACCGCATGCCATGATCACGCCTCTGGAGCGGCCCAAACGGGGACATCATGGCAGGCGCATGCTGCATCATTTCAGCATGCCAACTTGGAAGCACGCTTGGAGCTGAACCTGCCACGTTACGTTGCCAACCTCCCCTGTTCCATACCTCCATCGCCTCCTCTGCTTCCTGCAGAGAGCCATGCTCAGCATGCGCCATCACACCCCCTGCCACTTCGACACTGAAACTCCATGAAACCGCTTGTGGTTCGCTTGATGCTTGCGTAACTAAATGTGCGGGGACTGGCACCCTTGGTGTTTGCCCCCAAGCTAACACACGTTGCCCTGCTGCCAACGCTTGATCCCCAATCACTGCATGTTGCCCTGCTCTTTGCTGCCTAGACAACGCATGTTGCCCTGCCTGTCCCCCTGTCAGTGCGTGCTGCGCTGCTGCCAAACCCTGCTGCCTGTCTGCTAGTTCTGAGGGCCCTACTGTATGACCGGAAGGACCCACTGCTGCTGCACCTACCACCACACCTGCCCCTCGGCCCCGTTGACCCTGTTGACCCCGTTGACCCCATTGTGCCGGTTGTCCCTGCTGGCCCTGTTGACCCCATTGACCCTGTTGACCAGGCTGGTGCAATTGGGAGGAGGATGGATCCAACGCTCCAGACATGGCTCCTTGAACTGGCATGGTCGGCTGGCTTGGCTGCGTTGCCGTCATGTAGATACCATTACCATTCTCGCCCGCAGAGATAGTGTAGCCTCCCTGCTGCATCTCCATCCCTACGCCTCTCTGCTTCGGCAATCCTTGATTCGGACGATTGCTGTCGTGAGCTGCATCCTTGGTGCAAGGCAGTCGGTAGTGCTGATCAGATGCCACATCTATCGGGACGGCTCCCGCTCCCACCATCATTTTCACCCCACTATCATGGGAAACAAGGCCAGCCAAATGCTCATCCATTCCCATCTTCGCCTCCATCGCACCGTCCTCCTCCATCACCCCTTCCCCGTCACTAGTTTCTCGGCTCCCACTGCTTTCTTCCCCTGGAGATGCCTCCCATTCGTCCACTGCCTCCTTGCCTTTCGCAGTACCAACCCCACTCCCTCCACCCCCTTTGGTTTCTTCAATCCCCCCCAGCTGCTGAGCAAACTGCTCCGCAAGTTCAGAGAACAACTCCCTCTCTCCTTCCGTCAAGCCCTCAAATCCCACCTCCTCCAATCCCAACCCACCAAACCGTTCCAGATCTGCTCCCAGTGCAGTGAATCCCTGCATCCCCTGTCCAGTTACTATAGCACTTGGCAGCTTCTCCGGATGAAATAAGTGCCGATTCATCGCAGCGCTTCTAAACGTTGGGTTGCCGCTGGTGGGTGCAGCTTCCGGGGCTGAGATATCAGAAAATGTGGATTGCAGGACATGGACAGAGGCGGAGGAGGCAGAGGCAGAATTGGCAGAGGTGGAAGGGGCGGAGGAGGAGGAAGGGGCGGCTAAGCTCGAGCTACTACCGCTTACAGTGGATCTCCCTTCTGGAATGTATACTCCTCCACCTTTGCTCCCGTTACCACTGCCTGCTGACGTTTCTGCTGCAAAGCCTACTACTCCTTCTCTTCCTACACCTCTTCCTACACCTCCTCCTACACCTCCTCCTCCTCCTACTCCTCCTCCTCCTCCTACACCTCCTCCTCCTCCTCCTCCTCCTCCTCCTCCTCCTCCTCCTCCTCCTCCTCCTCCTACACCTCCTCGTACACTTCCTCCTACACCTCCTCCTCCTCCTCTTCCTCCTCCTCCTCCACCTCCTCCTCCTCCTCCTCCTCGTCCTCCACATCCTCCTCCTGCACCTCCCCTTCTTCCTCTTCCTCGTCCTCCCCGTCCCATACCTGCAGCTGGTACTAATGATGTTCCTTTAACCCCTGATTCTGCTCCTGTTTTCTTTGTAAATGCTGCCCCACCTGTTCCCACTGCAGACAACCTTTGAGGCGCCCCGATGTTCGCTGCTACCAACCCCCTACTCGTTCCCTCTCCAAACGACGTTTGAGGCACAGAAAATGTCACTGCTTCTTCCTTGATTTTTCCCTCTCTCTGCTGCGAAGTCTGACCCACAAGCTCTCCCATCAATCCCACGTCCACAGAGTCTTCACTGTATCCTACCTCCTTCCCTTTCCCTTCCCCGCTCCTAGTACTACTGCCCTCCCTATCCTGCCTTACTGCACCAAGTTGCTGCTCTCCCAAAACCATTCCTCCACCATCCACCCCTGCATCCCCTTCTGCTGCTTCCATCCTAGCCGTTGCTCCTACTATTGCTACAGGATTTGAACCTACTACCCCTCCCCTTTTCTGAATATGCTTCCTTGGGAAGTTGAGCTTCGCCTTTGATCCTCGAATATTCAAAGCAGCTTCATCAAACGCACGAGCGGCCTCCTCTGCGGAACGGAACGTGCCCAGCCACCTGCGGACCCCTTTCTTGGTGTCTTTGATCTCTGCAACGTAACGGAATTCCCCGCGCTTTCTTACCCCCCGGTACTGCCCTGGCTGGTTGTAGTTGCGACTGCGCGGCATTCTGGTGCGTCTGGGTAAACACCCTGGTGGCCCTGATGGCCCTGATTGCTCTGATGCCCCTATTGGCCCTGATGGCTCTGATGGCTCTGTTTTCCCTGCACCAGCGGCAGCCTCACCTTGTTCTAGGGCTTGCGACAAGTGCGGCTGTAGCAGCGGCTGTAGCTGATAGGAGAGCTGCTGGATCCGGTGTGGTGATAGCTGCTCTGGCTGAGCCTGTTGCTGAGCCTGTAGCTGAGCATGTAACTGCGGCTGTAGCTGAGCCTGTATCTGTGCCTGTAGCTGTGGCTGTAGCAGAGACTGTAGCTGAGCCTGTAGCTGAGACTGTATCTGTGGCTGTAGTTGAGCCTGTACCTGTGGCTGTAGCTGAGCCTTTACCTGTTGCTGTGGCTTAGCCTGTAGCTGAGACTGTAGCTGAGCCTCAGGATGTAGCTGTGGCTGTGGCTGTGGCTGTTGTGGCAGCGCAGTATAGGCCCGTGCTGCAAGCTGCTGTGACATGTGCAGCTGCAGCATCTGTTGTTGCATCTGCTGCTGTGATACCTGCAGCTGCAGCATCATTTGTTGCATCTGCTGTTGATCCATCTGCTGATCTTGCATCTGCTGCTGTGGCATCTGCTGCTGTGGCATCTGCTGCTGTGGCATCTGCTGCTGTGACATCTGCTTCTGTCGTGCCTGTCGTTGCATCTGCTCTGGTTGCATGATCTGCTGCTGCTGCATCCGCTACTAGCGTCTGCTGGTCCGGAATGGCGTCTGCTGCTCTGTCATCTAATTGCTCAGCCAGCGGAACGCTACCGTTGCAGATGCTACTGGGGGCCTGAAAAAAGGGGAGGACTGAGGAGGCAAAAAAAAATCAGAAGGTCTCCCAGGAGGGGAGATTAGAATTGTCACTCCTTGCTGTCCCACGTGGTCTAGATTTGAGGTTCCGACAAATAAATGTACTTAACTTACCACTTGATAAACCAGTGGCAGCGATCCAGGACAGGACTTAGGTTTATTAGTAGTAGTCATCTGGGGTGCTTCGTGGCGAGCTACCTAGCTATAGCTACTGTAGTGAATGAGCTAGCTATTGCTGGTACTAGCCAGTTGTTGCACAACTGTCTGACTTGGGAGATTCTGTCTGTTGCTCCACTTCAAAATGGGCTCTTGGTTTTGTGGGCAAGTGGCTGGTCTCTCCCATTGGTTCGATTCTGCACTGTACTTTTGCCTTCCCCGTGACGCGCACGGTTCAGGGTTTCAGATGTACGGTGCGGGACACTCCCATTTGACTTCCCCGTCACGCGGACGGCTTTAGGGTTTCAAAATTGGTTTTACAGTAAAATGTAAATCATTTTTCAGGGTAGGAAGGACCCACGTTGCAGGGATGTGCTAACGGCGAAGGGCTTGGAATGGCTCCTACAGTTTATTCTGATTGGTTGGATTTTGCGTGATTCGCGTTGGGCTTTTGCGTGATTGACGCTGGGCTTGGTTGGCCTTCGCGTCATTCGCGCGTTGCACCTGGTTTGGCTCAGCCGCATACGTGGCGAGTGATCCAGGGAGTTCGGAAGTCGCACACTTGCTTGAAACTGCGGAGGATGAAGACTTTGAGGAGATCGCATCACCATTGTGCGGTGACGTGGAGATTAACCACTTTTACACAAGGACAAACGCCAGCACCAAGCGCGTATTGAAACTGGCATTGTAACATCTTACGAGACTTCTCGTTATGTGCATATTGCACATTCGCCTTATGAATGAACATTCCCATGTGTGTTTTTAAAACATTTAGCAAGGGACCATGACATATGAGGACCAGATTACAGAACGATTCGACGCAGACACATTCATCCAGATCATTCAATAAATAAAATTTTCATCTGTAACACATAATTATTTACAGCTTACTATTCTGGCTAGCAACGTGGTGTAACTGTGGGCCATTGTTGGATTTATATCATGTGTAAATGCATGCTAGAATAGAAGTGTAGTATTATTTAGTTTCTCTGTCAGTGGTGTAGCCTCTTTTCCCACCTTCCCTTGCAGATATATCTTATACTGTTGTCAGTGAATCCCCTCTTCCCTCTCAAAACCCTCTCGCCACCCACGTTTCCTACTCTAGCCATGGCTACAAAGGCTAAGGTTACTTCAACATCCATGACGACTCACTTCCATCTCTACTGTGCTCGTTCAGCCAGTCGTTGCTCCTCACTGTCAAATCCTCCTCCTCCTCCTCCTCCTCCTCCTCCTCCTCCTCCTCCTCCTCCTCCTCCTCCTCCTCCTCCTCCTCCTCCTCCTCCTCCTCCTCCTCCTCTGCTCCTCCACCGCTACTCCGTCTCCTCTGCCCCTCCTCTAATTTGTCCTTTTTGTTGAGAATAGTAGCTAGTATTTAGTAGATATAGTTAGGGTTTTTGGGTACTAGCATGAGAGAAGAACAGCAGAAGAGGGGTTTGCACTAGCAAGCAGTTGAGTACATATAGGAAACCCTAATTTGGGCTATACTCGCTATAGAGTACCCCACTGCAGGCTAGACAAATATCACATTCTGACACACCCCCATAGTCAAAGTGGGGTATAATCAGCACAGCAAGCAGTCATAGAGCAGGTTCACAAGTACAAGCAGAGCTAGAGGCATTCACAAATGGCAAGTGAGGAGGAGGAGGCGGGACTGTGAGAGGAGAGGAGATAGGAGGCGACGGCTGAAGCTGCAGACACACGGGCAACAGGAGCGGCTGGCACAGCGGCTACCGGAGCAGCACCTCGGACTACTGGAGTAACTGGCTCCGCGGCTAAGACGAGCGGCAGGAGCAACGGACCCACGGGCGACTGGCGCAGCAGGCTCGCTGGGCTACCGGAGCAGAGCCCCGGACTACTGGCGCTGCTGACGACGCGACGGCTGCCTCCGCTCAACCTCCCCCAACTGTCCAACCCCCCTTTCACACACCCCCTGTTGCACCCCTAGCTTCACTCCCAAGACACCCCCCTAGCACCACTCCCTCGGCTCCCACACACCCACCCCCCTCAGCGGCAGCTACAGCAGTGGGAGACGAAGGAGGAGGAGGAGCAGGGGACGGCTCACACATCCGCCACCCCCATACCCGCCACCCCCATACCCCCAACGCAGGCGGCACGGGGCAGAAACGCGGGCAGCAGGTGGAGCGCTGCGAGGGGCGACGGGCAGGGCGGCGCGCGGCCCCCAGGGCGCCACGACGGGCGACGGGAGGGGGGGCGACGCGCGGGCCCCCAGGGCGCCGCGACGGGCGACGGGAGGGGGCGGCGCGCGGGTCCCCAGAGCGCCGCGACGGGCGACGGGAGGGGGGGCGACACGCGGGCCCCCAGGGCGCCGCGACGGGCGACGGGAGGGGGGCGGCGCGCGAGCCCCCGGGACGCCGCGACGGGCGACGGGAGGGGACAGTGCGCGGGCCCCCGGGGCGCCGCGACGGGCGACGAAACCGCCACGCGCGCCCAGGGCGCGCGACGGGCAGGAAACCGCCATGCGCCCCGAGCGCGTGACGGGAAGGAAAAACGCCACGCGCCACAGGGCGCGCGGCAAACAGTACAGCAGCGGAAGTAGGTGGGCCCACAGGCCAGGAGCGTGAACGCTTTGATAGCATGTTGAGAATAGTAGCTAGTACTTAGTAGCCATAGTTAGGGTTTTGGGTACTAGCATGAGAGAAGAACAGCAGAAGAGGGGTTTGCACTAGCAGGCAGTTGAGTACATATAGGAAACCCTAATTTGGGTTATACTTGCTATAGAGTACCCCAATGCAGGCTAGACAAATATCACATTCTGAGATTTTCCTATCTAAAAGCTGAGGTGTGTGGCATGATAGGATGATAATGGACTGGCTGGATAAGGTCATGATAATATGATGTCATGGGTCACATGGTATGATTGCCCCATCACATGCATTGACATGTTGGGACACTGCCAGCATGCAAGTGTTGGAGCAGCTTGGCATGGATGAGTCATGGTACACCAGATGCAGTCCCATTCACCCACTCCACTTACCAAGAACAACAGATGGTAACTTTGTGCACTCTCGCGTGGTCATCACTCTCTTTGTTGTCATTTCCTAAATGTGCACGCGTGCGCGCGCGCGCACACACACACATGCACCACACACATGCACACACACATATACACACACACATATACATACACACATATTCACACGCACACACACATACACACCGTACATACATATATGCATACAAACATACACACACAAACACACACATACACACACGCACACACACATACACACACACACACACATACACACACACACACAAATACACACATACACACACACACACACACATACACACATACACACATACATACACACACACACACACATACACACACACATACACATACACACACATACATACACACACACACACACACACACACACACACACACACACACACACACACACACACACACACACACACACACACACACAGTTCTGTGCGGGGTTTTGCATCGCTCACCAGTTGACCTTCATGGTTATCTCGTGGTGCTGCTTGTCGATGGTGCAGGTCATCTTGAAGACATGCAAACTTTGACTGAATGCCGGCCACCAATGTCGACATACAGGTCGACCGGCGATCTATACATCGGCCAGCTGGAGGAGAAGCTGACCCAAATACGCATGGGCAAGCAGGAATTGGCGACGCACTCCCGATCGTCTACAACCTGATGTGCCGGATGCTCGCGATGCTCGGTTTGCGTGACTCGCTCAACGAGGACACATTGACAAGTCACATCATCAAGGACGAGGCGATGAAGGAAGCCCAGCGGCCCACGGAGCTCCTTTCGCAAGTAAACTACACTGCCCATACAAAGCAGGGATGTCAGCAGGGGCAGTGCGGGAAGCAGAGCAGAGGTGGTAGAGGAATACGCCGACCAATTGAAGTTGGCTCGAGATAAGGAGCTGGTCGACGGCGGGAGTGCTGGATCTGCGGTGACCCAGACCACCTCTCCTTCGAGTGTCCAGACCGCGACGAGAGCGACAACGACGACAATAAGAGACGTCGCGGGAAATTTGAGGGATGTCGTCGACGCCGGGACAACAAGCCACGCAAGGAGAAGCAGACGTCGAAGTCGACATTGACGATGAAGGATACCTACTGTTCTCCTGGCAGCAAGACACGAAGGGATGAAGAGGCCTCGTGCTCGATGGTGAGGGTCGTGGGGCCGACCGTATCACTGGCGCTGGAAGCCGGAGAACTTTAAGGTGCGGATGCCATGCAGGCGAAACCCGTTGGTGGTTCTGCTCGATAGCGCCTGCTCCCACCACCTGATGGGGACAAATGAGGCCTTCGTCTACATGCAGCCGAGCGGCGACGTGCGACACGTACGCGGCTTTATCGGGGTGCTTCAGATTATCCAAGGCCATGGCACCGATGTTCTGCGAGGGGAGGCCAAAAATCAGGTTCTCATCCCCGGCTTGCTCTACGCCACAAGTGTGCAGGCGAATCTGCTGCCGGCCGGCCAGCTAAAGGACAGTGGCACGAGGCAGCTGGATGACGGCGATAAGATGCAGATCGTCTCGAAGATTGAGGACGTCCTTGGTCAGGCGAAGTACATCGACCAGGTCCTCTGCACCCCTGCTTGATTAAGCCGACGTCGGCGTTGACCAAGGTGGTGGCGCTGCGGACGATCTCTTTGGCGACGAAGTTGATGCCAGACATGTGGCATGTGAGGCTCGCGCAGGTCGGCGTCGACACAATCAAGAGCTCGGCGAAGCACCACCGGCTTGAACATCAAACCGTCGGCAGGCGCCGACCTGCCGTGTGTCTCCTGCGTCGACAGGAAATTGGCGCGGCACACATTCCCCAACACGGGTTCGGACGCCGAGGAGGCCTGGCCGTCGTGCACATCGACTTGTGCGGGCCACTTTGGGTGGTTGCCAAGAATGACAGCCTCTACTATGTCCTGCTAAAGGACTGCATGACCCACTACGTGTGGGTACGGCGGTTGCCAAGAAGAGCTACGTGCTACGGGTGTTCGAGAAGTGGCTGACGGTTGTGGAGCGGCAGACCAAAACGTCGGTGTTAATGCTTTGCTCTGACCATGGAGCGGGTTCCTGAGAAAGAAGTTCACCGACTTTGTCAACGGCAAGGGGATCGTCCACGACATGACGTGCACGTACACCCCGCAGCAAAACGGAATGGCAGCACGGGAGGTGCGCACTGTCGTTGAGGCTGTGCAGACGATGCTGCTCCACATAGGCGTGCTGCATCACTAGTGGCACCTTGCTCTTCGGCAAACCGTCTGGGTGCGCAATCGCCTTGACGGGTCGACTTTGCCGCCGGGAACGACCCCGCACCAACTGCTGACTGGCAAGAAGCCCGACCTCACGCTAGCACGGGCGTGTGGGGATGCATGGTGCATAGTCTCCCGCTTGCCGGTGGGGCCTTCATCTCGGTGTATTACTGGAGAGCAAGGGCTGGGAGGTGGTCGACCTCACCGACAGCAAGCGCGGACCTTGACCTTTAGTGATAAATGCAAATATTAGCTTGTTGTGTACACCCAATTGTCCTATTAGCTCCCTCATCTCTGGCTTCCTCATTACTTCCCTGTATATTTTCGCCCAGCCATATAGTTACGACATCCACTGTATTCATATGTGCATGAACGTTATGGGCTTTGCAATGTCATCGAGCTCAGGTCATGGCGAACCCGGAAGCTCAGTAATGTGCGCATTATCAATGTGTTATCTACAAGCATGACCAACTATCACTTGTTCATGGGTCAGCTCTATTGTAAAAATGGTATGATGGTGAAATGGCCAAGCAATCTTTGTGCATGGATGCAATCGAGAGCTTGAGAAGGGTGACCAGTTTGTGAGGAAAGGTGTCGAGAATCACTCATGTGAGATATTTTGAGGGGAAAAAGAAACCGTCTTGACGATTTTCCATCAAATGTCATGTTTACAGTGATTAAAACGCCTTTTACGCTTTAGCCAAGAAGATACAAGTAGTGGTGGGGGAAAAATGACCAGGCTATAAATTTGTGATACAAGTAAGTTTGTATGCTAGAGTGAAAACCAAACAGAACCTTGGATGCATTCAGTACAGCAGCCACAAAATGAAACTGAACTTAACGTGACTAGAAGTTTGGTCTATAATAAAAATTATGAATGCACATTGAGATGACTGATTTTGAACATTACTGTGGTTGTATGTAAAGGCAATGACAACTGCAAAATGACATGGATTGAAGCCACAATACAAAGGCACATGTAAGCCTCCCCCTCCCAACCCTCCCCTCCCCCCCCTCTTCCCCCCCTCCCCCCTCCCCTCCCCCACCCTCCAAACTAGTATTGGCGAATGACAAACAAAAAATGCTTAATAAAAAAACAAAAAGGCATAATACATGCAATTCATCCCTAATGCTTACTCCCTGTGCTCCCCATTATCCATCAAGAACCTCTCTAGCGCATCAATAGTGTAGCTTCCAGCACCAGCAGGGGTGATTGCCCCCACATGTCCGAAATCCCTATCCTCTGTATTCAACAACCCTCCTCCATCAGTAGCCTGCCCCCCACCCTCCAAACCTGCACCTGCTGCTCCCAAAGGCGCCATGACTGGGGCGGCAGAGGCATGATTCTCAAACCTGTGAAAGAGTGCTCCCTCGATGTGTGAAGGTGGGGAGATGAGGCGCCAGGGAGAAAATGCAGAGTGCTCAGCATCTCTCAGGAGCAACAACGGATCTGCTGAGGGGAGAGGCAGAGGAAGGGTCAAGTCTGCCATGATAGGCTGCTGGAAATTCAACTGCTCAGCACAAGGCTGGGTAGCATAATGCTGGTCGGCACTATTCTGAGTGGCACACAGCTGGCCTGTGCTAGGCTCGGCAGTAGCACCAGCATCATATGCGGGCCTGGGACCCTCTGTTGCAGCTTCCTGCATTTCAACGTCCCCTCCACTGCTGCCAGCACCACCTGACTTATAACCGTTGATTCTCTTAAAGGCATCATGCTCCGAGGCATCAGAACCGCACATCTCTGTGTTGCCGTATCCATGCAAGCTGACTGTACGATCGAAGTTGGTGGGTGGATAGGCAGGAGGGGGAAGGGCATTTTGCGAGTGAGAGACTGCAATCCCAACACCAGATCCAGCAACAGCAACAGGGGCAGCGCCAACAGCAGCAGTGGCAGCAGAAGCACCAGTGGCAGTGCCAGTGGCAAGACCGGAACCAATGCGTCCAGCAGCGGCAGTAGAGGTCACAGCAGAGGAGGTGCGGGCAGCAGGCGTTTTGGGGGGAGTGGATTGACTGTGGAAGGGCAGATGCTGCTGTAATCGAGTGATCTGCCCTTGATGCTGCTGCAGCAGTTGCAGCTGATCTTGCTGCTGCACCAATTGGTCTTGCTGCTGACGGATTGAACACGACTGCTGCTGCTGCTGCTGCTCCAACTGTCTCTCATTCAGGAACGACCTCTGTTGGCCCTGCTGCAGCACCCCTTCTCCGTACCTGCTAGTAGGTAACCAAGGTTGCTTTCCCAATTGTTTGTGCAGCCCTTGAGCATACTTGCTCACCGGAAATATCGGCTTGAATATCGGCGTACGCAGCGTTTCCCTGACAAGCTGTCCTGCTCCCATTGGTCCCTGGTCAAGGGACTGTGATCGTCTCGCCCTGTGGAGAGATATAGTAGCATCTGGTTCGAATGAGGTGGCTGGGGAGGATGCCAGAGCTGCCACACCAGGAGCAGCAGCAACACCAGAGGCACCAGCAACACCAGCAACACCAGCCACACCAGAGACATCAGCAACACCAGCAACAGGTGCAACACCGAAAGCGCCACCAGCAACCCCGGCAGCAGGCTTTTTTCTAGAATTTAAGCCAATCCCACTACGCACATTGGCAGCCGCAGCAGCTACACCATCCATTGGGCCAGCAACACCCATATCACCAGCAACACCAGCAGGACTTGGACCGATCAGACCACCCACTCCACCTGTGGTGCCCACAGAGGGCTGGGGCTCAGGGGTTGAAGCATAGATGACAGGTGGTTCCATCGGGGAAGAAACACTGTGGCTTCGGAATATAAGAGGCGCATGTTCGGAACGAGGCTTGGAAAGAATCTGGGGTGTGGGCTCGGACCAAGGAGGGCCGGAAAGCCTGGAAATTGTGTCGTCACTTTCCGGGTATGGGGTGTGGCTTCTAAGCATCTGCTGCTCTCTCCACTCTTCCACGGGAAGAGCTTCGCGTATGATGTCTGCAGAAGCACACCGTGTAGGTGCCTTGGTCCTCTTGCTAGCCTTCGGATTGAGAGAGCTGCGCCGTGGAAAGCTTGATGAACTGAGCTGCTGCTGCTGCTGCTGCTGCTGCTGCTGCTGCTGCTGCTGCTGCTGCTGCTGCTGCTGCTGCTGCTGCTGCTGCTGCTGCTGCTGCTGCTGCTGCTGCTGCTGCTGCTGCTGCTGCTGCTGCTGCTGCTGCTGCTGCTGCCACTGCTGCTGTTGGTTCTGGTGATGCTGACGCACGGACGGAATCACAACAACCGAAGATCTCCGCGACATGGTAAAAGCGTACCGCATGCCATGATCACGCCTCTGGAGCGGCCCAAACGGGGACATCATGGCAGGCGCATGCTGCATCATTTCAGCATGCCAACTTGGAAGCACGCTTGGAGCTGAACCTGCCACGTTACGTTGCCAACCTCCCCTGTTCCATACCTCCATCGCCTCCTCTGCTTCCTGCAGAGAGCCATGCTCAGCATGCGCCATCACACCCCCTGCCACTTCGACACTGAAACTCCATGAAACCGCTTGTGGTTCGCTTGATGCTTGCGTAACTAAATGTGCGGGGACTGGCACCCTTGGTGTTTGCCCCCAAGCTAACACACGTTGCCCTGCTGCCAACGCTTGATCCCCAATCACTGCATGTTGCCCTGCTCTTTGCTGCCTAGACAACGCATGTTGCCCTGCCTGTCCCCCTGTCAGTGCGTGCTGCGCTGCTGCCAAACCCTGCTGCCTGTCTGCTAGTTCTGAGGGCCCTACTGTATGACCGGAAGGACCCACTGCTGCTGCACCTACCACCACACCTGCCCCTCGGCCCCGTTGACCCTGTTGACCCCGTTGACCCCATTGTGCCGGTTGTCCCTGCTGGCCCTGTTGACCCCATTGACCCTGTTGACCAGGCTGGTGCAATTGGGAGGAGGATGGATCCAACGCTCCAGACATGGCTCCTTGAACTGGCATGGTCGGCTGGCTTGGCTGCGTTGCCGTCATGTAGATACCATTACCATTCTCGCCCGCAGAGATAGTGTAGCCTCCCTGCTGCATCTCCATCCCTACGCCTCTCTGCTTCGGCAATCCTTGATTCGGACGATTGCTGTCGTGAGCTGCATCCTTGGTGCAAGGCAGTCGGTAGTGCTGATCAGATGCCACATCTATCGGGACGGCTCCCGCTCCCACCATCATTTTCACCCCACTATCATGGGAAACAAGGCCAGCCAAATGCTCATCCATTCCCATCTTCGCCTCCATCGCACCGTCCTCCTCCATCACCCCTTCCCCGTCACTAGTTTCTCGGCTCCCACTGCTTTCTTCCCCTGGAGATGCCTCCCATTCGTCCACTGCCTCCTTGCCTTTCGCAGTACCAACCCCACTCCCTCCACCCCCTTTGGTTTCTTCAATCCCCCCCAGCTGCTGAGCAAACTGCTCCGCAAGTTCAGAGAACAACTCCCTCTCTCCTTCCGTCAAGCCCTCAAATCCCACCTCCTCCAATCCCAACCCACCAAACCGTTCCAGATCTGCTCCCAGTGCAGTGAATCCCTGCATCCCCTGTCCAGTTACTATAGCACTTGGCAGCTTCTCCGGATGAAATAAGTGCCGATTCATCGCAGCGCTTCTAAACGTTGGGTTGCCGCTGGTGGGTGCAGCTTCCGGGGCTGAGATATCAGAAAATGTGGATTGCAGGACATGGACAGAGGCGGAGGAGGCAGAGGCAGAATTGGCAGAGGTGGAAGGGGCGGAGGAGGAGGAAGGGGCGGCTAAGCTCGAGCTACTACCGCTTACAGTGGATCTCCCTTCTGGAATGTATACTCCTCCACCTTTGCTCCCGTTACCACTGCCTGCTGACGTTTCTGCTGCAAAGCCTACTACTCCTTCTCTTCCTACACCTCTTCCTACACCTCCTCCTACACCTCCTCCTCCTCCTACTCCTCCTCCTCCTCCTACACCTCCTCCTCCTCCTCCTCCTCCTCCTCCTCCTCCTCCTCCTCCTCCTCCTCCTCCTCCTCCTCCTCCTCCTCCTCCTCCTACACCTCCTCGTACACTTCCTCCTACACCTCCTCCTCCTCCTCTTCCTCCTCCTCCTCCACCTCCTCCTCCTCCTCCTCCTCGTCCTCCACATCCTCCTCCTGCACCTCCCCTTCTTCCTCTTCCTCGTCCTCCCCGTCCCATACCTGCAGCTGGTACTAATGATGTTCCTTTAACCCCTGATTCTGCTCCTGTTTTCTTTGTAAATGCTGCCCCACCTGTTCCCACTGCAGACAACCTTTGAGGCGCCCCGATGTTCGCTGCTACCAACCCCCTACTCGTTCCCTCTCCAAACGACGTTTGAGGCACAGAAAATGTCACTGCTTCTTCCTTGATTTTTCCCTCTCTCTGCTGCGAAGTCTGACCCACAAGCTCTCCCATCAATCCCACGTCCACAGAGTCTTCACTGTATCCTACCTCCTTCCCTTTCCCTTCCCCGCTCCTAGTACTACTGCCCTCCCTATCCTGCCTTACTGCACCAAGTTGCTGCTCTCCCAAAACCATTCCTCCACCATCCACCCCTGCATCCCCTTCTGCTGCTTCCATCCTAGCCGTTGCTCCTACTATTGCTACAGGATTTGAACCTACTACCCCTCCCCTTTTCTGAATATGCTTCCTTGGGAAGTTGAGCTTCGCCTTTGATCCTCGAATATTCAAAGCAGCTTCATCAAACGCACGAGCGGCCTCCTCTGCGGAACGGAACGTGCCCAGCCACCTGCGGACCCCTTTCTTGGTGTCTTTGATCTCTGCAACGTAACGAAATTCCCCGCGCTTTCTTACCCCCCGGTACTGCCCTGGCTGGTTGTAGTTGCGACTGCGCGGCATTCTGGTGCGTCTGGGTAAACACCCTGGTGGCCCTGATGGCCCTGATTGCTCTGATGCCCCTATTGGCCCTGATGGCTCTGATGGCTCTGTTTTCCCTGCACCAGCGGCAGCCTCACCTTGTTCTAGGGCTTGCGACAAGTGCGGCTGTAGCAGCGGCTGTAGCTGATAGGAGAGCTGCTGGATCCGGTGTGGTGATAGCTGCTCTGGCTGAGCCTGTTGCTGAGCCTGTAGCTGAGCATGTAACTGCGGCTGTAGCTGAGCCTGTATCTGTGCCTGTAGCTGTGGCTGTAGCAGAGACTGTAGCTGAGCCTGTAGCTGAGACTGTATCTGTGGCTGTAGTTGAGCCTGTACCTGTGGCTGTAGCTGAGCCTTTACCTGTTGCTGTGGCTTAGCCTGTAGCTGAGACTGTAGCTGAGCCTCAGGATGTAGCTGTGGCTGTGGCTGTGGCTGTTGTGGCAGCGCAGTATAGGCCCGTGCTGCAAGCTGCTGTGACATGTGCAGCTGCAGCATCTGTTGTTGCATCTGCTGCTGTGATACCTGCAGCTGCAGCATCATTTGTTGCATCTGCTGTTGATCCATCTGCTGATCTTGCATCTGCTGCTGTGGCATCTGCTGCTGTGGCATCTGCTGCTGTGGCATCTGCTGCTGTGACATCTGCTTCTGTCGTGCCTGTCGTTGCATCTGCTCTGGTTGCATGATCTGCTGCTGCTGCATCCGCTACTAGCGTCTGCTGGTCCGGAATGGCGTCTGCTGCTCTGTCATCTAATTGCTCAGCCAGCGGAACGCTACCGTTGCAGATGCTACTGGGGGCCTGAAAAAAGGGGAGGACTGAGGAGGCAAAAAAAAATCAGAAGGTCTCCCAGGAGGGGAGATTAGAATTGTCACTCCTTGCTGTCCCACGTGGTCTAGATTTGAGGTTCCGACAAATAAATGTACTTAACTTACCACTTGATAAACCAGTGGCAGCGATCCAGGACAGGACTTAGGTTTATTAGTAGTAGTCATCTGGGGTGCTTCGTGGCGAGCTACCTAGCTATAGCTACTGTAGTGAATGAGCTAGCTATTGCTGGTACTAGCCAGTTGTTGCACAACTGTCTGACTTGGGAGATTCTGTCTGTTGCTCCACTTCAAAATGGGCTCTTGGTTTTGTGGGCAAGTGGCTGGTCTCTCCCATTGGTTCGATTCTGCACTGTACTTTTGCCTTCCCCGTGTCGCGCACGGTTCAGGGTTTCAGATGTACGGTGCGGGACACTCCCATTTGACTTCCCCGTCACGCGGACGGCTTTAGGGTTTCAAAATTGGTTTTACAGTAAAATGTAAATCATTTTTCAGGGTAGGAAGGACCCACGTTGCAGGGATGTGCTAACGGCGAAGGGCTTGGAATGGCTCCTACAGTGTATTCTGATTGGTTGGATTTTGCGTGATTCGCGTTGGGCTTTTGCGTGATTGACGCTGGGCTTGGTTGGCCTTCGCGTCATTCGCGCGTTGCACCTGGTTTGGCTCAGCCGCATACGTGGCGAGTGATCCAGGGAGTTCGGAAGTCGCACACTTGCTTGAAACTGCGGAGGATGAAGACTTTGAGGAGATCGCATCACCATTGTGCGGTGACGTGGAGATTAACCACTTTTACACAAGGACAAACGCCAGCACCAAGCGCGTATTGAAACTGGCATTGTAACATCTTACGAGACTTCTCGTTATGTGCATATTGCACATTCGCCTTATGAATGAACATTCCCATGTGTGTTTTTAAAACATTTAGCAAGGGACCATGACATATGAGGACCAGATTACAGAACGATTCGACGCAGACACATTCATCCAGATCATTCAATAAATAAAAATTTCATCTGTAACACATAATTATTTACAGCTTACTATTCTGGCTAGCAACGTGGTGTAACTGTGGGCCATTGTTGGATTTATATCATGTGTAAATGCATGCTAGAATAGAAGTGTAGTATTATTTAGTTTCTCTGTCAGTGGTGTAGCCTCTTTTCCCACCTTCCCTTGCAGATATATCTTATACTGTTGTCAGTGAATCCCCTCTTCCCTCTCAAAACCCTCTCGCCACCCACGTTTCCTACTCTAGCCATGGCTACAAAGGCTAAGGTTACTTCAACATCCATGACGACTCACTTCCATCTCTACTGTGCTCGTTCAGCCAGTCGTTGCTCCTCACTGTCAAATCCTCCTCCTCCTCCTCCTCCTCCTCCTCCTCCTCCTCCTCCTCCTCCTCCTCCTCCTCCTCCTCCTCCTCCTCCTCCTCCTCCTCCTCCTCCTCCTCCTCCTCCTCCTCCTTCTCTGCTCCTCCACCGCTACTCCGTCTCCTCTGCCCCTCCTCTAATTTGTCCTTTTTGTTGAGAATAGTAGCTAGTATTTAGTAGATATAGTTAGGGTTTTTGGGTACTAGCATGAGAGAAGAACAGCAGAAGAGGGGTTTGCACTAGCAGGCAGTTGAGTACATATAGGAAACCCTAATTTGGGCTATACTCGCTATAGAGTACCCCACTGCAGGCTAGACAAATATCACATTCTGACACACCCCCATAGTCAAAGTGGGGTATAATCAGCACAGCAAGCAGTCATAGAGCAGGTTCACAAGTACAAGCAGAGCTAGAGGCATTCACAAATGGCAAGTGAGGAGGAGGAGGCGGGACTGTGAGAGGAGAGGAGATAGGAGGCGACGGCTGAAGCTGCAGACACACGGGCAACAGGAGCGGCTGGCACAGCGGCTACCGGAGCAGCACCTCGGACTACTGGAGTAACTGGCTCCGCGGCTAAGACGAGCGGCAGGAGCAACGGACCCACGGGCGACTGGCGCAGCAGGCTCGCTGGGCTACCGGAGCAGAGCCCCGGACTACTGGCGCTGCTGACGACGCGACGGCTGCCTCCGCTCAACCTCCCCCAACTGTCCAACCCCCCTTTCACACACCCCCTGTTGCACCCCTAGCTTCACTCCCAAGACACCCCCCTAGCACCACTCCCTCGGCTCCCACACACCCACCCCCCTCAGCGGCAGCTACAGCAGTGGGAGACGAAGGAGGAGGAGGAGCAGGGGACGGCTCACACATCCGCCACCCCCATACCCGCCACCCCCATACCCCCAACACAGGCGGCACGGGGCAGAAACGCGGGCAGCAGGTGGAGCGCTGCGAGGGGCGACGGGCAGGGCGGCGCGCGGCCCCCAGGGCGCCACGACGGGCGACGGGAGGGGGGGCGACGCGCGGGCCCCCAGGGCGCCGCGACGGGCGACGGGAGGGGGCGGCGCGCGGGTCCCCAGAGCGCCGCGACGGGCGACGGGAGGGGGGGCGACACGCGGGCCCCCAGGGCGCCGCGACGGGCGACGGGAGGGGGGCGGCGCGCGAGCCCCCGGGACGCCGCGACGGGCGACGGGAGGGGACAGTGCGCGGGCCCCCGGGGCGCCGCGACGGGCGACGAAACCGCCACGCGCGCCCAGGGCGCGCGACGGGCAGGAAACCGCCATGCGCCCCGAGCGCGTGACGGGAAGGAAAAACGCCACGCGCCACAGGGCGCGCGACAAACAGTACAGCAGCGGAAGTAGGTGGGCCCACAGGCCAGGAGCGTGAACGCTTTGATAGCATGTTGAGAATAGTAGCTAGTACTTAGTAGCCATAGTTAGGGTTTTGGGTACTAGCATGAGAGAAGAACAGCAGAAGAGGGGTTTGCACTAGCAGGCAGTTGAGTACATATAGGAAACCCTAATTTGGGTTATACTTGCTATAGAGTACCCCAATGCAGGCTAGACAAATATCACATTCGGAGATTTTCCTATTTAAAAGCTGAGGTGTGTGGCATGATAGGATGATAATGGACTGGCTGGATAAGGTCATGATAATATGATGTCATGGGTCACATGGTATGATTGCCCCATCACATGCATTGACATGTTGGGACACTGCCAGCATGCAAGTGTTGGAGCAGCTTGGCATGGATGAGTCATGGTACACCAGATGCAGTCCCATTCACCCACTCCACTTACCAAGAACAACAGATGGTAACTTTGTGCACTCTCGCGTGGTCATCACTCTCTTTGTTGTCATTTCCTAAATGTGCACGCGTGCGCGCGCGCGCACACACACACATGCACCACACACATGCACACACACATATACACACACACATATACATACACACATATTCACACACACACACGCATACACACCGTACATACATATATGCATACAAACATACACACACAAACACACACATACACACACGCACACACACATACACACACACACACACATACACACACACACACACACACACACACACACACACACACACACACACACACACACACACACACACACACACACACACACACACACACACACACACACACACACACACACACACACACACACACACACACACACACACACACACACACACACACACACACACACACACACACACACACACACACACACACACACACACACACACACACACACACACACACACACACACACACACACACACACACACACACACACACACACACACACACACACACACACACACACACACACACACACACACACACACACACACACACACACACACACACACACACACACACACACACACACACACACACACACACACACACACACACACACACACACACACACACACACACACACATACACACACACACACACACACACACACACACACACACACACACACACACACACACACACACACACACACACACACATGATAAGAAAGCTTCTATTGTAAGTTAACAGCAGGACCAACTCCAGCAGGACCGGCAGCTCCAGTACCGCCAGCAGCTCCAGCAGGACCAACTCCAGCAGCCCCAGCAGCACCCCCAGTCCCAGCAGCTCCAGTACCGCCAGTACGAGCACCTCCGGGACCAGCAGCAACAGTAGTACCTCCAGCTCCTGCAGCACGGCTCCAGCGCCGGGCAAACCACTCGCGCAGCTCCTGTGGAGAGAGTGGCTCCCGCCTCGACGAAGCACCGCCGGCGGCCACACGAGCAGACCCAGCGCCCCCAGGCTCCGCACCCCCAGGCTCCGCACCCCCAGACTCAGCACCCCCATGCTCAGCACCCCCAGACTCAGCACCCCCAGACTCAGCACCCCCAGGCTCAGCACCCCCAGACTCAGCACCCCCAGACTCAGCACCTCCAGACCCGGCACCCGCAGGCTCAGCACCTCTAGCAGCACCAGAGTCAACAGCTACCTCGACAGGCTCAACTGCGTCTACCTGGGACACACCTGACGGGGCAGGACCCTGAGGGGGGAGGGGGTCTACCGGGGGAGGACCTGGCACAAGGAAGAGCGGGGGCGGGGGAAGGGGCGCAGCGCGGTAGGGGAAGAGACGGTAGTAAGGCACCGACTCGTCAAAGGTGACGTCCTGGGAGGACAGAACACGGCGCGAGGTGGGGTGGTAAAACTGCCAACCAGGCGCGTCAGGGGGGAAGCCAAGGAAGACGCAGGGAACAGCACGGGGGGACAGCTTGTCCGCAGACAAGTCGCGGACAAACGCCCGAGATCCCCAGACCCGAAACGCAGACGCATCGCCAACCTTCCCCGTCCACCGCAAGGTGGGGGAGGTCTCTGGCAAGGAGACCCGGGGCTGAAGGTTGAGCTGATGCGCTGCGTACTGAACCGCAAACGGCCACAGAAAATGGGGGGCAGCCGCATGGATCATGGACGTACGAGCGACGTCCATGACCATGCCAATGCGGCGCTCAGCAATCCCATGCTGTGGAGAGGCCGGAAGCGTGAAGGTCTGGCGGATGCCCTGTGCTCGACAGAAGGCTCCCAGACGGGCAGAGGAAAACTCCCCGCCTCTGTCAGAGTGCAGACGCAGAACAGGAAAGTCCGAGCCGAAACTCTCTCTGAGCTGGAGACGAGCTGCGCGGATCCAGTCGATCAACACCTCAGTGACGTCGCCCTTGCTGCGCAAGGGGAAGACCGTGGTGTAACGCGAGTAGTCGTCAACCACCAACAGGAAGTAACGCTCGTGCCCCTGGCCACGGACGCGGGCGGGGCCCCACACGTCCATGTGAAGAGTCTGCAACGGAGCCTCTGTCGGAGGAAACTCGGAGGAGTGGGGGGCGGCGCGCTGTCGCCCCTCGACGCAGGGGACGCAGGTAGGGGCAGGCCCCGGAGGTAGGGGAGGGAGAGACCGGGGGAGACCAGAGACAAGGACACGGGAGGCCATGCCTCGAAGACGAGGCAGGGAGGGGTGACCAAGGCGGTGGTGCCAAAGGAGAGTCTGGTGAGACAGGAGACGACACGAGCAGGGAGCAGACTCAGGACTAGACCTGGACGCTGCAGCAAACACCTGACTCGACGCAGCTACCTGACCAGACTCAGCAGCCGGAGTAGACTCAGTAGTGAGGGTGTACAGGCTCGACCCCGGCCGACGGGTGAACGTGGCCAAGTGTCGGCCTGTCCGAGCACACGTGCAGTGGGTCACCCGCAGACTCGCAGGAGTGAACTGGTCAACCCCCCTATCCTGTAGATCAGCTCCAGAGGGGAGGTAGAGACCTGACAGGGTGCCAGAGGGGGCTGCCGGACACGGTAAGACAGTGGAGAAGCGAGCAAGGACAGGGCCCCCAGAGGGGTCCGCCAGGGAGACCGCAACCGGCCGACTGAGCGGCGTAAGTGTGGTGCGGTCTCGAAAGAAGGAGCGGGAAGCACCCGAGTCAAGGGTGAAGGTGTGTAAGGCCTGAGCCGACGTAGTACCTGAGAGAGCAGACTCACCAGCACCTGGGGCAGCAGACGCACTAGCACCTAGAGCAGCAGCCTCACCAGTACCTAAAGCAGCAGTCTCAATGCCCGGGTCAGGCGGAACACACAGGTAACAGTCACCCTCAACACTATCAGACACAACATACATGGCAGCAAGAATAGCATCAAAATCAAGATCAAAGATAGCAACCCCCGCCCTAGACAGCTCTCCCCAGCGAGGGATCTCAGAGGCCTCAGGGAACTGGTGACGCCACGCGTCCGTCAGGCGGCCGAAGCAGCGCTGGGTGGAGTGCGGGCCCTCGCACTGCTCACCAGCGCGGTCGCCGGTGCGGAGAACGTAGGTGCAGGGACCAGTACCCCCACCGCGCTGACGCGCAGCGTACCACTCACGAAGCTGCTGAGGGGACAGGGTCTCACGGCTGCGCTGCTGCTGCTGGCGCGTACCACCACCGGAGCCACTCCTCTGCGCAGAGCCGCGACCAGGTCCACTGCTGCCGCCGCCGCCTCCGCCACCTCCGCCGCCTCCGCCGCCTCCACCACCTCCGCCGCCTCCGCTCCCTCCGCCACCGCCGCCGCCTCCCCCGCCTCCACTGCTGCCACCCACACCTCCACCCCCGCCACCACTCCCACCACCACCCCCACCCCCTCCACTGCCTCCACCACCACCTCCACCGCCCCCGCCGGCCCCTCCAGCGCCCTTGCCCCCCTTGCCCTTGCCGGTGCGGCGTCTCCCGCTCGGGGCAGACGCAGCGCCGACCGACTCGAAACCAACGAGGTCGGCCGCAGCAGCAGA